ATTTGAAAGCGACTAGGAAGTTCAAGCACTCTTATGAAGTGTTTATCAAGGCCTAAGATATAGCAACTCATTAAAGGATTTATGAATTTTTATAAACTCTTTCATAAACCTTTCAGAAATGGTATTTAAAGACCATGAACCTTTTCAAATACTCTTTGTAAAAGGTTCATGAAATAACTTACGATGATTTCATAAATGGTAGAGCATGGGTTTTTCTTACAGTGCAGGTAACCTTATTCGACAAGATTTTTTGCGCAGGAAGTCTCTCAGGTCACTAATGTTTCTTTAGGAGAGAAAGTAAGAAGTTTAAAAAGCCGACGCTTCTACTTTGAGAATCATTCCATTAATGATAGTTAGTAAAGATTTTACAAGCCATGATACCGAATTCGAAAAATTAAGTTTCCTAGCTGAAGCAGTATAGGCGATTGCAACTTTGTGACTAATTTTCAGTGCAAGTTCTGAGTTTCTGGTTTGAATTTCTGTAGGATGAAACTACTAGAGAAAATTTCACACTCTATTTATCTTTGTCGCATTGTCTTCTAATTCTAGTCAGAGTGAAAACGTAATGTTCTCATTGCATGCGAGCAGATAACAGGTCGATTTCGTTGTATCACAAGCTTATATAACAATGAGTTGTGCGCAATATTTGACAAGATCATCTATAGAAAAGGCGTTAGCAGTTACTTCATTTGGATTGTTGGAGTTGGAACTATATTCATTTCCTTGTCTCCGCTAAAGTACATTGTGGGCAATAATGCACTCAATGCTACTGTATATATATATATATCATACACTTCACGACAATCGAAAATAGCAGCGCCATATGGAGTAAACATTATTGATTTGAACAATTCAATCGTGGAAAACTTTACTTGCTTTAGGACAAAGCAAATTTTTAAAGTAATACAGACTACCATATGCGTGCATAACAATACAGACTTCGTAAGCTCTGCCTATTATGGAAATTATATTTATGAAGAAGAACATCTTTATTTGCTTTTTCGTATTTTCTTAAAATACCAGCATTTCGGTCTGCTTGATGTAGGTGCTAATATTGGTATGTATACAATGTTTGCCGCCGCAATGAATCGTTCTGTTATAGCAATCGAATGTTTTAGACCAAACTATATGAGAATTGCCAAGGCCATTCAGATTGAAAACCTCCACAACAATGTCGTACTTATTGGGAACGCCATGTATTCTCAATTAGGACTTAATCTAGACTTGTCTCGCAATCCTACAAATTTCGGTGGTCAGAGAATAGATAATTCACGTCCAACAAACAAGTCATCTGACAAACCTTATGTAGTTAAAACAATGCGATTTGATGACATACTAACAGTAATACGACAGACAAAAGCTCATTCTTTTATCCTCAAGGCAGATATCGAAGGATCTGAATTTTACATCTTTGAAAATGGAAGACAGATTTTTGATAATGTGGACATTCCTGTAGTATCCATTGAATGGGACAAAATTCGTTATCAAAAAGAGTGTGCGACTGATCTCATCAATTTCCTGACTGAGCGCCACTATATTCCAACTGTGGACACTTGTAAACCGCTTAATACGACAGATTTTTCAGACAAATGGCCAGCCAACATTATTTGGACAAAAATAAATGCGTCTGAGATCTGCTAAAAACCTTCAACGCAACTTCTATACGACTAAAATGTGAAACACGCTGGAGATGATTCGATCAAGCGAGAAGATCCTGCTTTTTTAACGTGTGTATGAAAAATTCCACTTAGTCTTTCTCCCAAACAATTTTCGCCCGCTGCGGCTTAGCGAATCTTTTGATTTCTTTTTATTGCGTAAATGCGAGAAAAATGTGCAAAAATAGACAGCTTGCTTCCTTGTTTTTTTTAAAGAGAAACATCTGTTTTCTTCGAACAAGTTTTATTTGAAGATTTCTTGGAAAGTCAGTTATTTTTAAAAAAGAAATAGCTTTCACCATAATTGTCGAAGAATATTAGCGACTTTCTCCCAAAGAGAAGACTTTAATTAGTTTGTAGATGTTTTCTCCTCGACTTTACTTCTTCTCCTCAATAATATCAAACGATAGTCCTGGATGTGAATGTTGATGCGTGCGTGCGGCCGTGAGTGAAAAAATGATCTCAAACTCCTACTGACACCCCGTGCACTGCACGCTAAATGACATTCACTCCTACACCGACACCTCCATTGTGCCTATGCTTAGCCGTCGATTATGAATCTTGGAAAAAAATGAGAATTTGTATAGGATTAAGTGTTTCTAAAATTTAATATTTTCCATAAAAAATGACATTAATACAGAATTTTTTTATGCTTTGTTTCTACTCAAAATGCCTGTTTTGTTAACTTCAACGATTGAGATTTCTTCTTGATAGAGTCAGGATGAACGACTGAAGCCTAACCAAGGTGTGCATCTGATTTCTCTCAGTCAAAATAAACAGTTAATTCAATTATTATTTAAAAGTTTAATTATCACATGTTTTATTCGTATATCAGCAAGTAAAGAAAAAAGTAGATGATAAACTTTGAAAAAAATAAACAAAGTAAACAGAAAGCGAATACAGTTTTTCATAATTAAATCTGGATAATAAAATCATGTTCGATCATATCCACGCATCAATGTTTTAAAAATAATAATCACATAGTATCTTACGTGACATCTGTTACATTATGTTGATTTGGTTGCATTGGTTTCAGCTTTTTGGCCGTTGATTGTTTACGAAGACAAGCATCTCTTCTTTTTAATCGAAGCTTATCGAGTTCATTTGTTACATATTGTCTTTAGTTATTAACAGATGTTACTTTTTTATGATCGCCAACAATCAAAAGTTTTGATGCATATACTTTTGATAAGGCCCCAATTGTTTATTCATCTTCTGATCGATTAATTGGTTCTTTAATTAAAAAGTTTAGCTTTCATTTCGTTGTCAAGATTTTTCTGTTCGTTCTATGATTGTTTTTCCTCTTGAAGTTGTTGCTTTTTATTTTGAATTATTTGTCTGTTATCGTTTTTCTTATTATACATCATGAATAGCTACTATCAGATTAGTCACGATTACTAACGATGGAATCTCTCCGAATATCCCGCTCGGATTTCAATGAATTTTTGTCTATAGATACAATACAGTGCCCTAGTAAAAATTTTAAAAGGATTCGGATGTACATCGACATTAGGCTAAGCTATCGAATTTTTTGCATGCCGATGTTCCAGAAGCCCCTGTAGTTCGGAGAAATTTTTCATTTCTTTAGCAAATTCTGCATCGCTGCTTCTGTAGGATCCCAGGTTTTTGCAAAAACAGAATCTTCAAAGTTGGACTTGAAACCTTGGACATCTATAGATCTTAACTATAGTAGCTTCTATAAAAAGCTCAGAAGTTTCGAACAAAGTCTCTTCGACATATGAGAATTTCAAGATGTAGACTCTTTTCCATAGATAATGTATAGAGCATGATTTTTTAAAAATCTATATATCTTGAAGAGACTTTGTTCAAAACTTCTGAATTTTTTCATGGAATCTAGTATAGTTAAGATCTAAAAATACTCTAAGTTTCAGATCGAAATCCTATTGTTCCAAAAATCTGGAGTTCTACAAGAGCCTCTGTAAAATAGGCACATAAAAAATTCGATAGTTTAGCCAAATCTCGATGTACAGTCGAATCTTTTTAGAATTATTACTAGGGTACTATGTTATATCTATAGACAACAATTCATTGAAATCTGAGAGGGGCATCCGAGGAGGTTCTCTCGTCAGTAATTGCTTTACCGCATTATTCACATCTGAAGTTAGAGCCACCTGCAAAACTAAATGTATTGTGATATCAAAATTAAATGTAAAATTATGTTACTTGATATGTTGATGCAAATCCAACATATTTCATTTCATCACAAACTAATCTTAAGTAATTTATCAATAATTCTGATAATAATAATCGATTTTCTGTAATAATGCTTGAATTAATAATAAAACTTTTCTCGACATTTGCATCATCATGTGCAATGATTAAAACTTGTTTCTATAGGTTTACATAATGTTGGGCACTTCAACACACCATTGCTTGTTAATACTGAAAAGATCTTGTTCCAATAATAATCAATACAATGATATTTTATGTAATTATTGTCACTGCAATCAAGACATTCATCTTTAGTAAACAATAATCGATCGATTACTTCAGCAGAATATAAAATCCGTTCATTTTCGAAGTTATCAATTTCTCTATCATCGAGTAAATTTGGGATAGCTCAAGCTACTCGAACAATTTGATCGCTATTTTATCGATCAACTCGAGGGTGGATGGAGTAGATGTACATGTTAGAGAATATAATAGAAATACTCACACCCTCTCATAATTACTTAGCATTTGTGAAGTAAAAGTATATCCAATGATAATGCAAATATGACTAAAAGAATCTAAACAATCTCTTTTGTGAAGCATTAAATATTTCTAATTAAAAATTGACTATTCTTTCTATTATCGATTGGTTCAACATCTATGTGATTTTATTCATATATTGAACAAAGAAAAGTTATTGTAGCAAAGTCTGATAGTTTGGTTGAATTTCGTAAATAGTAAAACTAGACGTATGAGATGCAAAGACGAACGTAAAATTTCACTATTAAACTTAAAAAATCATTTGATTTTTGCTGTAAGTATCATAATTCCATCGCTTTTTATCAAATAATCATTACTCGTTAATCATTTTAAAATCAGATTGTGTACGAAAATAGTTTTTAAAAGTGAGCTTTTTGCAAATGAATCATCTTATATTTAAGCTAATTTATAATACAAATAAAAACGAAGAAAATTTTTTAGATACATTTTCTACTACAAACACACAAAAGGGAAAAGACAGTTGAAGAATGATCTACTATTATTTAATATTCATTCATTAAACTATTCATATATTCGAAAACATCTACAATAAAGTTGTTTCATATTCGTAACTCATGGACGGATTGATATAACAAATAAAAATGAACAATTTTCTATCATACAAGAAAAATATTATGTCAAAACTTGACCAGTTAATTCAAGATCACGTTGGTAAAGTTTTTCAGCAATTAAATTCAAATAAAATGTTGCTAAACGGATATTTGAATTTGTACTAGAGAATAGGTATACAGGAATTTTATATTTAGCTTGAAATTCTTTCGTATCATTTTCTGTTAATACAGCTAGTTGATCAAATCTATACAAAAAGAAATCGATTAAATACGATATTTAACAAATTAATAACGTATCTCACTTAGTAACAAAAACCAGGCTAACAAATGAACGGTTTGTACTACATTGGCTACGTTTTTGTTCAATTAATGTAGGTAATTCATTGAAACTTTCACGATCAGCAGCTGAAATAATAAAAAGTATCATATCGAGTGAATCGACGGAATCCTAAATTTACGAAATCAATTCTACTAAAACACATCTATATTTATAGAAATAAAAATTTACTTTATCAATATAATCAAATCTAGTTGAACTTGTATGTCCAACATCCCAGAAATCGAGTCGAAACAAATATATTGGTTTATTAGGTTGATTTACTCTTACAGGCCAATAGATATTTGTTGTTTGAATACCAAGTGTTGGTTGTGCATTTATTGTTGAAAATTCTTTACCCATCAAAGCACGTATTAAACTAGTTTTGCCACATCCTATAAAGTCTCAATTAAGATATAAATAGACATATACTAAATTTACCTGTTTTACCAACAAGAAGAATTTTATAACGATATTGTTTCACAATTAGACCAGGAGAAAATGTTGGAGTAAAGAGTAATGCTACATATATATATATATAGTAAAGCATAGATTTTAGACGAAAAAAGGTTTTATTAAACATACAAAAATCTCTGAGTTGATTATCTGTTCGTTCTTTAATTGTTTTTAAATATTCCGCTGCTTGATCACTACTAATCCATTGATGATCAAGAAAAGTATTTGGATGATTATCAGTAGTCGATGAGGTCATATTTTTTTATTATGATCTAAAATAACTAATGATTATTCATTGATTTTTTCTTTGTTTCGTATTCCATCGTCCACTAAATTTAACAGTTGATTCAACAGCTGTTAATTCATCTTCTTGATGAGCTTCGATTGTATGCAATCGAATCCAACAATACACAATAAAAAAAGAACAATAGATAGAAATAAGTAACAAAGGAAGAAATGGAAGAATACGATCGATATGTAACACTGTGTGTAAACATTCGACATAGAGACAAAGAGGACTCAATAAAATAATAGATAACGTTTCCAATCGATTGAGCAATGGAAGAGTAAAAGTTGAACCCCGATCACTATTGATTATTATGAAAATAAATATGATGGATATAATAATAGTAGAGTTCGATAACTTACCCATGTATTTCACCGAGTGCATAAAAAAGAAAAGTTGTATAAGCGATAAAAAGTGCAATCTTGATTGGAATTTCTAAATACAATAATAAAATCATTGAAAGTTCGATTGAGAAAAGTTTTAATTAATCTACCTGGCCCAGTAAATATAAGTGGAAACAATGAAAATCCACCAAATGTAGAAAGTAAAAGAAAATAACGAGCATGTTCACGACTATCGAATGCTAACAAACTAAAATAACAACATAAATTTGGATTTCATATATATTAGATAAGATTACTTGAGTGGTATAATAGAAATTAAAATAGCTTTTTCATGAACATGCCACCCAAATAGAAATGATGTAAGTGCACAGAGAATAATTGTTTCAAGAAATGTTCTTTTTGAACAACGACGACATAATCGAAATAAACTTGGCTATGTAAACAAAAAAGAAGAACTAATAAAAAATTCAATAATAAATAATTTATATTTACAATCATAAAGATTATTGTTAAGATAAATGTCATTGTCGGAGTAATAGAAGGTAATACTTGATGTTCAATATCTTGTACAAGACCAGATGTCATGGATACGGATGTAGAACGAACATGAAATAAATGAGTATAACGTCCTAAAGAAAAGCTTTCCATTAAAATTTATTCAATTGTTATAAGTTGTCAGAAATTCAAAAATTTATCAAATTTTTGTTTTCAATTTGTTTAGTATCGTTGAATAGAGCACACCAAGTTACCTATGAAAAATTACGTTTCCGATTTTTGGAAACAAGTTTTTTCCTGGCAATATTAGAAAAAAAGACTAATGATTATAATTAGAGATGTCCATTATTCCAATATGTATTTTGTTGTCTTCACTTTTTAGAACATTATAACGGTTATTTCCTAATTCTGTAGACAAAATTTACCAAAATAACTGTATGTACATAAAGTTATTTCAGTGAATTTTGTCTGCAGAATCAGCAAATAGTTCTTAGCCTTTTTCCAAAAATCGGAAACTCAGTTTTTCATTGGTACCTTCATGTGCTCTATTCAACGACACTAAATAAAGTGAAAGCTAAAGTTTCGATAATATTTTGAAACTTCAATATCTTACAAAAAAGCAATCTTTAGAATATTCCATATTTACGTACCAATCATAGCCAATGCTTTATCAAGAACATTATACATAGCCCATATATTTGGTGCCCAATAAGCATGACAAAGTCCACGTTTAAATGGAAATAATCGTGACAATACTTGTGGTAGTTGGTTCTATGAAATAAAATTTTAAATTTTCATAATCAACAAAAATAAATCTCTATCATATTATATACCATTAAAACAAATGGACCAAAAGAAAGTATAAATGGAACAAGTGTAGCTATTCCAAGTGTTATCAATTTGATTATAAAATACTTCCAATTGGAACCTATACGAGTATATTAGATTGACTAAATTTTTTTTTACTCACTTTGTCGAATGCAAAATGCATAAAATAAATAAACAACATAAGCTGGAGCAATATAAAGAAAAATATGTTTTAAATTCAATAGTGTTGAAAACCATATTGCACCCATTAAATATTGATTCTTAAATTTAAACATTTATTTTCAATTAAATATTCTTTGATACTTACTTGGTACATACAACTGATGGAGATTAATAAAATACCTAATAAAAATCCATTGTATTGAAAATGAATATCTATATACGAATGAGTTAAAGATTTTGAACATATGAAATGAAGATTTAAAAAGAAAACAAATTCAAAATATCATCAAAAAAGGAAAAGGATACGATCGACAAGAATAAGGCCAAAATTAACGAGTAAACTTAATGTAAATAATAGTTGAATAATTGGCATTGGTATGTCATGATTTTTTCTGCCAATTTGCATAGATTTTAACAATCTTTTGTTTTTTCAAGAAAAACAAATCAGAGTAAGAAAAATGAATGAAAAAAGTAAAAAATAAGAAAACTTACGATAATATTGCTAATGCTAAAATAATTTCACTACCAATGACAGTTAATCGTTGAAATAATTTTGTTTTTTCACTTGCATAATTATGATTATTAATATCGAGCATTGCTGAATCAAAATAATGAGCAAATTTCGATAAACCATATTCAAAATGAGCAAAGAATGGTGGATAATCAAGTGTCCATTCAGATCGATTCTATTTGAAATAGAACCATAAGACAATGAGTTGCTGGGAAATTTTCTATATTACCTCATAATACCATTGATTCAATGGTAAACTATGCGTAAGAGCAAGCCAATTACGATGCACTTCAAAGTCTGTTGAATGACTACAATATAATTAATAAATGCGTTGAATTATCAGTACACTTTAGATATCCAAAATTCCAAGATTTTTCTATTAGAAAAGAAATGGGAGGTATTTAACTAAAACCTCTCCTATGCATGTATTGAGTCCGAACGTTCAGGTTCAGACTTGATTATGGTCGATTTAAACACAGTGAAATAAATGATACAAATGTCGAGAGTCTACAGGCATCGTAAAAGGAGGTCGATACTATTCAGAAATACACGAATTCGCACACCGACTTAGAGTTCGAGTTCGATGCATGCCTAATCTATTATGATGTTTCTATCAAATTCAGTAAAAACAAAAGTTTAATTGTATTCAATATATTGACTCAAGTAATTGTGGATTTTTTTTCTATCGTGATATCATCTGAGATATGAAAAAAAGAATTTTATTTAGTAATTGATCATTAGAGTGATCTTTTACAGGTGCTTATTCTAACGTTTTCATTATTAACATTGCTTTCCTTTTATTACTCATCAATTTCTAATATATATTGTGTTCAATCGGATAATGAGTGGTTCTGTTATTCTCTATTCATTGTAGCTACTTGTTTGCTTTTATGAAGACTATAGCGTATTTCCATTAAAGACAAATTAGACTATATGAAAATTAACGTTAATAGATCTATTTATCTTGGTTTAGTTATACAAAAGCGAAGGATAAAGAATAGTGTTAAATATAAATTGTTATGTATCTTTACTTACTAGCATGGTAAAAGTGCTAATTTAATGATAGCAGCAATAGTGAAACTCAATGTCACAACAATTCCTTTATAATAATTTTTTATACTCATCTACAATAAATAGTTTTATTGAATAAATATATATATATTAAAATAAAATTTTCAATTAAATAAATTATTTGTATTCATAAAAAAAATCTTCGAATATATTAGCAATCATATTAGGCGTTAATTTAAATGAAGAAAAATTTGATGGTGCCGTTACAATATTTGATGTTGACGACATAGCTGATTGATTTCGAATATTAGATCGATTTTCATTTTGTTTAAGTAATGATATTGTATTTCGTTTTAAATTTGATCCAGTTGAATATTGATGTTGAACATCATCTTTTTGAGATGTTAAACCTTCAAATGTTCGTGAATTTGTAATACGTGATAATCCACCTCGTTCTGTTAATAACATTTGACTATGAGATCCTATTTCATTTGTTGTTATATCTTCTTTATTAGAATCTTTTGTATTTTGTCGATATAATTCTTTACTATCAATTGATATTGATATTGTCGGTGGTTGACGTAAATAATTTGATTCACTTTCAATTGTAAAAGCTATACGTATAAGACGATTTAATATATTATTTAATTCATTAATAGCATTAGCTGCTATTGGTATGAGTACAAGTGAAATAGCAATAGATGCTTGTCCATTTGATGATAAAATTGATTTAGTAGCATCACGAATATGTTGCATAAACTCATGATATTTTCTAATGATCTTAATAATAAAAAAAAACAAAGAAACAAATTTATTATTGATATTTTTAATTCATATTTACATACCATACGAAAACTAAGTGCTATTTCAACATAATCACTAAGATCTTCTTTTGACATTAAATTAATCGGTTGTTTTTTCTTAGATTCTTGTTTATTGTCCGTTTTTTGTTCAATAGTTTCTTGTTTTGACTCAGTCTGTTTATATAAATATGTTATAATAAATGAAGAAAAAGCTTTTGTATTCATTTTGTTTTTGATCTAACGTCACAATGCAATGGTGTAGAGATTTGTGCAGTTTTCTTGTTAGAAAAAGTAAAATATTTAGCGTCAACATATGAAAAAGAATTTTATTGAAATTTCTTTCTAAACGTCACAAAACTTTTCGTAACGTCAACAGGAAATATTTGTATTCGAATTTATTTGTTTGACTTTTTTTAATTATCATATATCTATAGCTATTAATTACAATGACGACTTTCATGCAGCATGACAACAAATGGTCGAGGTTACAAGAAACTGAACAATTGATAGTTTAATAATAAAAATAACTCAATCTAGTATTTGTTACCCGAAAACAAGATTTTCTCTGAATATCTGATATATAAGCTGTGTATTCTATTCCAAATAATATTGCTTCATAGAGTACTCAATAAGAGAATGTCCTGGGGTTGTCACAGTTGAGTAAGAAGGGTGGGGAGGGGAAGGGAGAAGCCATGATTCAAGAGACCGATCGGAAGATTTTCGCTAAAGTTGGCTGGAGCGTTTTTTGGAAATTCATCAGCAAAACAAAACAATAAAACGTAGGAACTCAGTTTGAGAAATCACAATTTTTCAAGATTGAATCGAAATGTATTCCTACGACTTCCTACTTGATCAGCTTCCTTCTTTATATAAAATATATATATATCTCTTAAAAAGTTCGCTTTTAAAATAGAATTTAGTGCTTTGACTGTGATCAGTAATTACAAAAAAAAGGTGACATCAGAAGATGTTATAGTAGCATTCGTCTCGACCGTTGAAAAGCAAATAAGATAGTTCTTTTTCTGGTAATGAAATAGTCCCGTATATTTACGTTATTAAACTTGGGAAAAACCTTGCACATTATCTGCAGTTTTTTCTAACTTAAAAAAGATTGTGAAAAAGTGTCTAAATAAATTTTGTTTTAAAGAGAGAACATATCCAACTTTTGTTCGCTAATTGTAATGATATTTTGTCCATAAGCCTTCCATGTTGAGTTATGATCGTTTTATCGAGTTGTTTGCCTATGTTGAGATATTCATAGAAAAATTACAAAGAAGGGTTTTTTATCCAAAAATAGATTTCTTGAGCCTGAGAAAAAAATATCATAAAGCTAACTTTTCTTCAGTATTCAATACGTCAAGAAGAAACCATCTGCACTTTGATCGAAAATTTCACGATATTCTAAGAATAAAAAGATCTATTTATGAACAAAATTCCTTCTTTTTGGTTTTCTATGAATACTTTGTCATAAACCGAAAGTCCAATAAAACAATCATAATTTTATACGAAACGTCTATGGGATGAAATCCTTTCAGATTTTTTTCTACTCTCACTGAGTCCTACTTATGAACTACATATCACTTCGATGGACGATTAGCCTTTGGATATGTTGTTTCTCATAAGTTTTTTTACGGTCTTCAGGAAACATTTCTGATCAAATTTTTTTGAGATATATTTGCACTAGAATTCTTGTTCTTTCTAACAAAAATAAAAAGGATCAAGTCTTTAGCATATTGCATTGCAATGTTTGATCAAAAGTAAGCATTCATACAGTACTTTTTTCCCATGATTTATTTTTCTTTTCATTAAATAGCTTACATTTTCATCAAGTTGTGTTTTTGATAAACTCTTTTTCTTTTTCTTTTTTTTTGTTTGCAATTCACCACCATTCTCTTTAACGAGACGTGTTAATAATTGAACTTTTTTATTTAATTGTTCAACACGTACATTTGTTGAAGCAACAAGTAAAAGAGTTGTATTTGTTGAACGTATACGCGATACACGTAATAACATTAAATTTGCCTGAAAATAAAAAACAAACAAAACTTCATTTTATTTTTTGCATTTATTTATATATTAAAATTATTTTTCTTCTTCTTTTTCTTTCTTTACTTTTGTTCGTTTACAAGCTTGTAAAATACGATCAAGATAAAGAGCAAGATCATATTTTAATGTCGTTGGTACTGTACATGGTTTTGATGAACGTTTAACAGTTTTAAAATCAGTTTTTTGTGCATTTGATGCATCTTTAAGTTGCATAGCGAGACTAATACGTCGATTTCGATCATTGAAATGTGATTGAATACGTATTGTATCAAGTACATTGATTGAAAAATCAATTAGATCTTCAGTTACTGTTAATAAATCTATTCGAAAGACAAGAAAACAACAATACATATAAGTTAGATTTATCATAATAATAAATCAACCGGATAAAACAAAATCCGCTGTGGGATCAGTTAAAGACGTAGTACGATCACACATTAGACTAAAGTCGATTCGTCATTAGCATCTATTTAGTTATGTTGAAAGGAAGAAGAAATGAAATAAAAAAAAACAAACAGGACTATATTGGATGAATTATTATCAATATAACTTGGCGCTTCTTCAGTAGGGTACAAAAAAAAATTTGATTCATATTCATAAAACTTCAGATTTTGAATAAGAAATACTTCCAGATTGATTAATGAAGAAAGACAATAAGAAGAAAATAGAAAATGCAAATCATGTTTTCAATAACAAAAATAATCAAACGATGTTTTTAGTTCATAATAAAAGAAGGTAAGGTGTCGTTAATATAGAAGTCAAGCAAATATTAGATTTTTTTGCATTATACATGAATAGATAGAGCTCACGACACTAATTACGGATATGTAGTTTTAATTTTTTAGACTAGAAATTTAAAAACAAACAAAACGTCTCAGCAAAAACAAAAAATAGTTGGTTGCTCTAACTTACATTAACTATTCTTCGCTAAAACTGTTTTATTCAAGTTCAATATAAAAAACTGTGGTATCTACATAAATCTGATGAAATTTGATCGCCGTGGTCCCGGTTAAATAGCTTTGCAAGACTCACCTTACTAGTTCATCTCCAATTTTTACGATAACAGCTCAAACTATTTTTCATCTAACGTTCGATTCATTAGGCTAATAGTAAAAAAGCTACGTATCCTTTTAATTGCATGTTTTGGGTTCATATTTTGAAATTTTCACTACAGAAACTTTATCTTTGGGCTAAATGGATACAGTATTCAGAGTCAGAATAAAAAAAATGCACCGAACAACCTATTGTCATTAAAAAAATATTTTCCCTCAAAATGTTGACCTGCATTTCCGCTCATTATTTTTTTTACTCAATTTTGCTCTGAGAGAAAGTGCAGGTCAGATTTTGACATAAAACACTTTTTGATAAAATATAAGTAATCCGATGGAGTTTTTGCAGTGAAATAATCGACTATTTTTGTTTTTGTTGAGACACTTTGTTTCTTTTTAAATTACTTGTCTAAAAAAATTAAAACCTAGTTGTTCGTAATCAGTGTCATGAACTCCAACAACTTATGTATAATTCAATAAAACTTAATATTTGCTTGACTTTTGCATTAATGGCACCTTATGTAATAAAATAACTTTACTTGAAATCTTTTGTTAAATTAAATGAATTTTGGCGCTTATTCAATGTTAAATAAGCTTTTTCGATTAGTTTCTTATTTTTCGTTTTTTGTTATATTAAATAATAAATAGCTGATGATTATATCTAATAAATCCTTTCAGATTATATGCATATATATCTTTTGTATAAATGATTTTGATAATGAAATTCATTAGCTAATGGATATATTGGCAAATAATTATGAATATCCGAGTTTTACTAACGAAAATGAGAATTCTAATAGAAAAATAATCAATGAATTCAATTGTATGAATGTGCCATGTAATCAACAATCAAAAACTCATTGTCAAAAATGTGGACGTCGTAATCGAAATCAAAATCCATACACAAATAATTGTCGAATAAAATATGAACAACGTCATTGTCGTCATGGTCATCGATTAAAATGTAAACGACAATCACGTCATTTTCCTACTGAATTACCATCATGTTCCATGATTACTCAAACCGATAATCAACATTCAATATCAAAGAATATTCTCAATCGAAATTCTTCAAGAAAATCTAGTCAAACAAATATACTTATTGATCAATTTATTCAAGTACAACAATTAAATTCTACAAGATGTAATACACAAAGTCATAGTTATACTTATGATATGGATAATGATTATAAAAATGACGATTATCAGATGTTTATCGATACTAAGAATAAACAAAATTTATATCAATTAGAATGTGTCCAACAAATGATATATCTCAGAGAAAATATTAATAAGTACGAATATAAAAATAAATAAATATTTATTATCATAAATTAATTTAGTTTAACTTATCGAGAATTTCATTTTCCGAATGAATATATTGTATTAAAACGATTAGAAGAAAAAAATCATCTTATTAATCAAAATCGTTTTAAAGTTGATCATTATTTTCGTTCATTACAACTTCAATATCAAATAATGAGGTCAGTTGTATACTTTTTTCTATTATAATAATTAAGATACCGACAATTCGAATCGTTTTTGACGCTTTTTGTGATGTTTTGATAGAGCTCGTCGAGTTACCTTTTGTGACATTCGGACGATGTTTTTGTAGTGAAAACTAAGTTTAAAAATTGAAATATGTCAAAAACATCAGGTCTTTTTATATTATCTGAGGTTTCTTTTGGTTTTACTCATCATATAATTAGGAAAAACTACTGGATGTCATTTGAAAAATATTAATTGATGGTTGAGAAAATCGTCTATTTCGATCTGGAAGTAAAAGACCATAAATGCAGATTTGTATTCAAAGGTCTTGACAATCAGAACTTCAGCTCCAAAAGAAACAAATTTCAAGATCAGAAGTAGCATAAAAATCTGCATAAAATAGTATACTTAAAACTTAAAACTAATGTTCGTCAAATTTCTGTCCTTACACCTCCTCATTCTTATCTTCGAATATTCTGACCTGTGCTTATCCTAACGATGGAAGTCCTTCTATAGATAAATAGCTTTGGAGTTGACACTGTATGTATTATGTAGATCCATATGAGCTATGAATTTCCTAAAAAGAGTTCGTATTCTTAATTTATTGTTGCGAAGATACTTCACTTTTATAGTAATCTTTAAATAAATGTCGTGGTCCAGACAAACTGATTGTCAAATTTTCACTTGAAACTTTACACAGAGACAAGCCATAATGAGAGTATTTTATTCTGAAAGTTTCAGGTCTTTTTATTTTGCTTCGATTCTGAAATAAGAACATCAAATCCGTCTGTTTATATGAGCTATGTAGAAAACACGGTATTACTATAGATGAACCTGCGGATAGAAACAATTTGAAAATCAGTTTTTCTAGTGCTCCTGAAAAAATCATAACATTCATTTAAAAATATCGTAAAACTCACATAGTCTTGACTCAAATGCGATTTATCGTACTGAGAACTTCCCTCCTAAGGTCAAAATTTGGCGATAATTTTATGACGGTCAAAATCTTAGAATACAAATCTGTATGCATGACGTTTTGCTTCCAGATCCAAAAAGAAACTGGTTTTCTCAACAATCAAACAAAAAATTTGCATATTTCAATTTTTTATAGACTTTTCTAATTTTCTTAAGTTTAAATTTCGCTACAAAACATTGTCTAAGCATGTTAAAGAAGATAACTAGGCGAACTCTATCTAACAACAGGAAAAAACACCGGAAAAAAAATTTCGAATTCTCCGCAGCTTACTTTCATTCTTTATGTGTATTTATTTACCAGTATCTTACTTCAAAATACAACTATTACCTCATTCAATTACTCTAAACAAGATTCTGATGAAGGCAAATCAATAGTTAAAACATCATTTAAACGATATTCACTTTCTGAAAATCTTGAATTCAATCAAAATACATCAAATGATATCGTACATCATTCAGCATTAACAAATGATCGATCTCTTGTTACTATTAACGAAATTAATAATACAAATACAAATGAAAGTTTAGTAAAACAAAATGATAATTTATCTCTTACTAATCAAAATGATTCTCCAATTTTTGTTACACCTTATAATGAATATAAACAAGAACAATATTCTCAAAATGCAACTCGATCATATTTAAATACTAATACTTTAACAGAACCTAAACAAGAAGATTTTCAATTCGATACAGCTGTTATTATTGATGTGACTAAATGTCCACAAGTAACTAAAACAAAGACTAATCTTACACAACAAACATCAATTCAAGACAATTGGAATCATATAACATCAAAATTTTATAACAAAAAACAAAACAATGAACACATCACACGAACAACATTAAGTATGCCGAGTCTTCAAAATAATCAACAAGAATCATCTTCAATCTATATTCCTAATCAAACAATTTATTTTGATCAATATCCAAATTATATGAATAGTTATCAACCACAAACAACGTTTCTTCCATGGTCATACAATTCAAATTACACACATCAACAACAAATATTGACAGATTCTATTTTTGAGAACCCAGTAAGTCAACAAGTTTCCAAAACATTAATAAAAGAAAAAAAAAGAAATAACTAACTCATGGGTCGCCTATAAAGAATCGAACACTTATTTCCTTGTTGTGAACAGTGCAGACATAGTTCACAAAGTTTACTCTTAGCTCATTCAATAGAGAATTTTTCGCTCTACAAAATCGCTTATTTTATTTAGGAAACATATTCATATGATACACTTTTTCAGCCCAATAGTTAATATTGCGAAGAATAACATCACGCCGAATTTATTTTACATCAGCACGAATTTGATTAATTAAATTTTTTTTATTGGTTAATTTATTCTAGTTCATGTGGCCACACAATTCATTCCAAATTGAGTAATCGAAGGGAGTAAGATCGGAATTGTTAGGACATCATCGTGATGTTGGTCAAAGAATCCCAAACATGATGTTCCCACCATGTTTGAGTTTGACGATTAGTATGCAGCTGTGTCGCTTCTTGCGATGCGATTAACAAAATTTCATCAATATAATGTTAACGGTTGATTGCACCTTCCTCGATAATAACAGGACGCGCAATGACATCGTAACACGCTTATAACAACCATACCTTGACACTATCAGGAAATTTTGTTTTCTAAGGGATTCCTTCTTTGGTATCAGCTTATTGAAAATATCAAACCAATATACTATCGTTTTGACGGTGGTATGTGCCATCGATATCAAGTCATTTTTCGTTAGAAAATGAAATTTTCCTGAGTAAAAATTTTGTGACATTATTTTTCACCCATATGCTAAACAAGAATCTGCTTTGCTATTGTTCATTCTTTAGCTTTGAAGCAACACTTTTTTACATACTATTTGAAACTGAAATCTTTTTTCATTATTCTTTGCATAGTTAATATTGAGACATCATCTAATTTGGACAATGATCTTGTCAATAATTTCTTTTTGGCGTGAAGAAGATGGTGATTCACCTGATGAATCAATCTTTTTCTTTAGCTTCGGCCTGTATTTGTTTTCAAATATATTGCGTCTGATTCTTTGGCCATTGTTGCTCTTTACGACGCTGCTGCGATAACGACAGCATCTAGTCTTGATGAACATCTCTGATCTGTAGACTGTTCATTTCCAAATTTTACCGACAAGCTATTTCGAAATTTGTTAGCTACTTAATCTTTGTTTATGTAATCTCAGTATTACAACATTTTGCTTGTCTTCACTTTCCATGTTTCTTTTGTTTGTTTGTTTTTTTTTTATAAAAGAAGAAACTATCTTAATTTACAAGTAACTGCGTTGTGTAGAGTGAAAAATTTCCTATAGAATGAGCTAAGAACGAAGTCTCAAAATGATGCTTCCATTAATCAAGAAAAGTCTCCCATCCTTTATGGACCACTTTCTATTTGATATAGGTTTGCCATGAAGCTCTTTCATATGAAACTATTTGCTTTCCTCAAAACTCAAATCCGTCAAATGAACTACAGTACTTATCAACGTAATCCTTTCTTAAAATTTTTTTACAATCATTTCTGTTTTTTTTTCTCAATAGTAATCATCTATCTTCTAATCAAAATCCTACGAATACGTCTTCAGCTATTTATGAAGCATCTGAAAGTCACAATTCACTATCATTTACCAACAGCGAAACTACATCGAATATTTCAACAACAAAAACAACAAGTAATAAAGAAATTAATCAATCAATACAATATACTCAAGCTATTAATAAAATTAAACAAATATTAAATACTCTACAAAAAAATTTACTTCATAAATCAATTTCTAAAAATGAAAATATCAATAATAAAATAAACGTATATTTGCCATCAAAACAAATAAATCCACTTAATATTAATCAAACATCAAATAAAATTGATAAATCAATATCAACAACAATAACAACTGATTCATTAATATCAAATACAAGTATTCAAACAACGTATTCTGTTACATCAACATTACCAATTATAAATAAGAATATATTTCAATTACCTTATAGTCAATCAACAATTAATCTCGAAAATGAAATTTCACAAATGGATTTAGATTCTCTCAATTTAAATAAAATAAAATTTCTTAATTCTGCAAAAAATATTAATACGAATCAACAAACAAGTGATGATGATGAAATGGAACAAAGTTTAAACAATAGTCGATCACGATCAAAAAAAGTAATACTATTCTACAAAAAAATAACGAACTCTTTTTTTGCATTCTAAATTATCATAAATATATCATTTAGTCTTTATCTCGTCGTGTTACTGTTAAATATATGTCACCATCATTTATGTTTGTCTTACAAATATTACTTATTTTATGTCTTATTAATCGAATTATAATGTATTCTTTTTTTGGCATCCTATCAAATGATACTTTAACATCAATTATTATTGATAATTCACCATCTGCAACATCGATTTCATCTTCATTGGTTAGTAAAACCGAACAAACGACATTATCAACGACTCATGAAAAACTTAATAATTTCTTATTGTCACTTTTTAAATTAGTTTAATCATTATAAAAAGAAAATTTTAATTTTATTTATATAAATTAATTAAGATAATCTATGGTGCGAGAATCTTGTCACAAACTATTCACTCATTTTTCGACCATTTAAAGACAATCAGTTAGAGCCAGTAGCAATTAGTTAGAATCAAATCTCTTTTGCTTTTTTCAAACATGTGTACAAAATTGTCGTCTGACGTATGATCGTACCAAGAGGAAAACAACAACAGAGATTTCAGTTTTGAAGTCTCACGAAGTCTGTTGTTTCTCCATTGTGCTTAGAGTTCGGTGATTTTGGTTCGATTCCAAAAATGTTCAGTGGAACCGAAACCGTTAAATCATCAGATAGATACAAAAATTTCTAATCCATTTTAAGAAATTCTTACTATTGATTTGTTGAGATTAAAAACGCCACATATTTTAGTACTTAAGTAAACTAATATTATACATATATACTGAAATATTTAATCTCAAGAGTGAAAAATGATGATTTCTCGATATCGATTTAAGAAATTCAAAAAAGTTGGTTTTGATTCGATTCTCGATTCCAACTTTTTTGGCAGTGTTGAGCTCTATTTGGAATGTACAGAATATTACTTTGGCCAATTTTATATATCGATTGAAACCTATCAAATTCAAAATACAAAACAACTTTTAATGACTTAGTTTTTATTTGTTCTACGAAGCGTACTATTAATTGTCCTGTTTTATTTTGCACGACTAGTTTTAAAACTTTTAAATTTTTGAAAGAATTTTTTTTTGACCGACGTTAGTTTCTATAGAACTCAGATCTTTAGTGGAAACACATCGATGAGTTTTTTGCTTATTATGATATCTTGTTTTGCACAGAATTCAATGCTCTATTCCATGACAGAAATTAACGACTGCATCAAAACTGGTACTTAGTTTTTACAGATACAGTTTTTCACTTTTGTGGAACTCACATATATTTTCGAAGAAAATAGTGAGTGTAAGTTTTAAGTTCAAGTTTTCGCGGCCTGCCCGTGCCCGCCCCCGCCCCCGCCGCCCCAGCAACCACACGCAGCCCGAGCATCCGTGGCCCGACCGACGNTTTTTTTGGAAAATTGATCAAGTTATAATTTAAAAAAATAATTAATATCATTATTTGTGACTTCATTAATGTATATCATAGTGTGTAAGATCTGCTGTAGATATCATAGATATGTAAAACACACTTATTTGTCAAATCAGTTCAATGATTATAATAATAAGAATGATAAATTAAGAAAAACGAATTAGAAAAAAATTAAAAAAAATAATGAGCGAATAGTAACAATGAAAACAAAAAATAGAGCGACCGTCAGAAAACGAAAAATAAAAAATTCTTTATTTTGCACCTTCTGTATTTCGTATTAATATAACGAAGCTGAACAACATATGTGAGTTCCACATTTCAGCCCCAACGGGGTTGCGCTAACAAGCTTTTTCAGAAAATTGAATGATAGTTATTCAATCTTACCCATGAAGAGAAATTTGAACATATATTCGGAAATAGCGAAAAACTCTGATTTTGGCTCTAACAATTTGTCTTTTAGTGGCCGAGAAATAAACGAATACTTTATGCCAAGACTTTTGTGCTATAGACTGTGCTCGAATTTCGCATTGATGATTGGTCGAGACTAACGAAGTTCCGAGTCTGAATTTAGAGAGTATATGATCTAATTTTGTAAACTATGGCTGTAGATTACAAATACTTCTAACGATTATATTTACAGTTTATCTTAACAGCTTCTTATTCACAATAAAAGCAATGACATCGTACTTCATAGATCCTATTAAAAGGTTTTTTTCACTAGTTGAATGTTGATGACTGAACTCCTTGTGAATAATAATCAAGAATAAATTCAAGCATACCATAAATTATTCAAAGTTTCATTGGATCTTGACATCTGTCAGACTTTCTTAAAGAATACGAAAAATGAAATGAAACTAAATCAATATTGAAAAATCTTCTTTACCTTAAAGTTGATTCTATTATTTCATGTGATTTATCTACATCATATCAATTAATTAATACGATATAATGTACAGTAAGTGATAATTGTATATCCAAATAAAACTAAAATAGAGAAGTATAAAAGAAACTACTTAGTTAGCAACCGGTATGCATCAATGAAAGACACGTATAGATAGGTTACGATTAAATAACCATTTAAATTTTACTTCTAGATGTCGCTTAACAACAACCCAAGTCGAACTTTTATTTTCATGTACAGACTTCAAGATGTATCCATAGAGCATGATTTTCTTTGTATAGACAAGCATTTGATTTATGTGCAAAATTAAAGCAACCCATGTACTGAACTTATGAACATCATCAAAATGAGGATACTTGAAATGATGAAGTAGAAGAAAATAATAACAGTTGCTCGGTTTAGAACGAAAAAATCGTCCTTGCCATCGATGACATCTCAACTATATTACTCATTTCGATTTTCTTTTGGTTTGCCTGTTACAATCTTTATTATTTGGACTGTGAATTTTTATTAGGAGTCAAATCATTTTGAATATAAAACTGAAAAGCACGTATAATACTTTAAATAAAAGTGGTATTACACATGACAGATATTTTTTTCCATAATTAAAACCGTCATGGTTGAATAACTACATTGTTCAACACGCATCCACAAAGTACTGAGTGCAACCCACAGTTCCACCAGCTACGGAAATAACCTCGGAGCAATCACTAACGGCTATTTGTTTCGGATGACTCATCCGTTAGCATGTTGACTATGTTGTAACATAACACACTTGCTCTTGTGGTTAGGTAGCTGAAAGGCAGGGGTACTCTTCCTTCCATTGTCGTGACAGATGACGATATCCATTGAAGTATTATTATTGATAGCTTACAATTAAGACAGATTTATGCTGTTAATCTTTGAAGTTCGTACTGTTTTTCATGCAGTATTTCATTTGTGATGACTTGTTCTGGCACTCAAACAAGAAATTCAAACACTTGAATAAAAATGTTAAGCAATGGAACAAGAGATTCAACCGTTTGGAATCATCAAAAAGCTTCAAGGTGTGTCCATATAGCACATTATTTTCTTGTCTAAAATACTCAAGTTCTTCGTGAACATGAAAAAAAAAGTTTGACTTGAGCTTTTTTAAAATATAAAACAAAATACAAAAACTCTAACCTCAAAAAGAAAAACTGATCTGGTTTAAATAAACTCACATATATATACATAAGAAATAAAAAGAAAGTTTAACAATATCATTTCTTTTGATAATCAAAAAGAAAATTGAAACTATTTCCAAATTGCTAATTCTTTTTTTCCAATAGTTATGTGAACTTGTTCTTGATTATCTACTCCACATACACGTTTTATCCATGTCAAATATGCATTATTAGTATTTAATGATGGTAATCTTAATGAATTTCTTTTACATGATACTCGAAAACAATTTAAATTTGATAATGAATATAAGACCTGTTCTGTTACTAATTCAATAGATCGGTTTATTGTTCGACTTGATTGAACATGAAGCCAAAAATATTCAAGATTTGGAAAAAATTTTAATAATAATTCAATATCATCCAAACAAATAAGTCCATCAGCACCATTATTATATACACAAAGTTCTTTAAATCGTTGAAAAGACTCTATTTCTAAACGTTTACATAGATAAATAAGATCTCCGTACATTATTGTTAGAGTACGAAGACGAGGTGCAAGTATAATATTATCCGCTAGATACATAAAAAAAGGAAGATTTACTTTACATTTTGTCGATCGAATATAACGTAAAATAGATAAACTAGGTAATCGTAATTGTTTATAATTCTCAAGAAATTTACATTCTTCTTGATTACATAAATTAATTGAAGTAATGTCAAGTACTTGAATATCAGGAAAGCGTTGAATAACATTTAACCAATCATTAATTGATGTTAATTCATGATGACCATCAAAACAAAGTGTATTCACTTTTCTTGTTCGTTGATTAAATAATTTCATATTTGTTGCTTGAGCATTACTTGCACGTGGCGATGTCATTATGCCTGTTATACTATCAAAATCATATGGTATTGTATCAATAAATAATACCCGAGTATCAGCATAACAACAAACGTCTAAATCATTTTGTATAAATGTTTCTAAACATGATGTGACATCGATTGGTACTGATTGCGGTTCAATACAAATTTTAAGTCCCATATCCAATCGAGATAATTTTGGTAAATTAGATAATAATTCTTTCCATCTATAACCTTGACTATATTGTATATCATCGGTTTCTATTTCTAATGAAAGACGTTCTATTGTTGGTATATTTACTAGTATATTATATAAATCATCAAATACAAGTAAACGTTTATCTTTAATCCATAAATGAAAATCTTTCATATATTTTGGCATCATATCAACAGTTGCATATTGTTTCGGTGAATCAAGAGAAAATATATTTATTTCAATATGTAATTTTACAAGATTAGGTGCACGTCTTAATATTAATATGAAATCATCTAATGTAGCTACACTAATTATAAGTTTTTCAAGCCATTGACACATCATTACAGAGACATCATGTTGTAATGTAATACCTTCTTCAGCACCATATAATCTCAATTCTTTTATTTTATTTGGTGTACAAAATAAATATCGATCGAGTAAAATTTTTGTTGAATAAAGTAAAGATATTTGTGCATCAATATCAATCATTACTTTTTCAATTGAAAGAATTTTTGGAAGTATGTCCACATCTTGATTACTAAAATTAATCAACCATAATTGTTTAAGAGAAGGTAAAAAGTCATGAAGAGAATTATATTTAGCAATTGATTTATTAAAAAGAGAAATTTCCCCTGGTGAATACCATGTATTTAATGTTAATTTAACAATATAGTTCGCATTTAAAGGTAATAAATGACAACAACATCGTTGAAATTGATTTAAAGTTAAATATTGAAGGTTAATGTCACATCGAAATTGTCTTATAGTTCGTTCTAAACGATTATTTAATTGTCCAAATGCATTAATA